GAGCCCTGGAACAGGCTGCCCAGAGAGGTTGTGGAGTCTCCTTCTCTGGAGATCTTCAAACCCGCTTGGACGCAGCCCTGTGCCACGTGCTCTAGGTGACCCTGCGTGTGCAGGGGTTGGACTAGATGATCCCTAGAGGTCCCTTCCAACCCTAAGCATTCTATGATTCTATGATTCCCAACTGCGCTTCCCAGCGATCAATCAGGTATAAAACGCGTTTCGCTTGCAAATCCGCGCGTTTTCTCCCCCATTCCCACCAGCGACCCTCCGGAAGGGACGCACGCGGGGCTCCGAGGACGCGGTTGTACTTACGGGGATACTGGCCGTGCCACCAGCCCCAAATCTGGCTCCGGGGTCAAAGCCGCCTTCGACGAGCACCGTGGAGCCCGGCGGGTAGACGGGACCCACCGGGTAATAGGCCATGGGCACCGACGAGCCGAGGGGACCCACGGCCACCGACTGCGCCACGGGCAGGAACACCGAAGCGCCCGGATACGCCGCGGACATCGTGGGAACGGTGGCAGCTCCCAGAGGCACGAAGCTGGGTCGGTAAAGCTGGGAGAGAAGCCAACAGGAGCACGGTCAGGGGTTTATTGCTCCCCGCGCCCTCCGTGCTCGCTCGCAAAGCGCTAGCCCGAGATGGACTTTCACCCTTCCGCGTGCACAAAGTCCTCCCCTGTCCCGAGTGTCTAATTTTGCGTGGTCAAAAAGGATGTTTTTTCCCCCACCTGGAGAGTTTTCCCCCTCTACGAGGTGTATTTTGAACCAGGAGATTGGCTAAATTTATCATTTCGACTCAGAAAGCGCTGGATGGTGTTTGAGACTCCGAGCGCGCAAGGCAGGTCTCAAGCGAGTGAATTTGGTGACCGGCTGCTGCGCGGTGACACAAAGCAAGTGATATGGGTTAAAAAGAGGAAAAAAAAACCAGCAGCTAGAAACCTAATCAAAGCTTTTTTCTTTCGGAGGGTGCCCGGAATGCAACAAAGCTGGGAGAAGATTCCCGCATACCTCGGAATAAGCCGGGGGGGCGTC